GCCCATCAGTTCACGGCTGGCACCAGTCAAAGCAGTCCAGGTCACCCGTAGGAGCGTTCGTGTTAGGTTTGCTGATGACTGTACATACGCACGCCTTTGCTTGTTGGCCTGTACGGCTACATTAGTCGGCTACATCTTCCAGGGTGTGGTACACACAGACGCGCATTGGTAGGCACGTGAAAAGGCATCGCGCTACGCGCTTGGGCAATGCGTTCGTGCTAGCAGTACTTGTCGATGACGCATGGAATATGACTAAAAAACGTCGGTTACAGCCCTGTCAGGGCCAACCGCATTCTCGATATATACATGCCCTGATATCATAAATACAGACACCTCGATACAATAAACGTACGCAAGATAGCGTATGCCACATATATACGTTACGTGCCTCGCCGCGGTGGTCTAGTGGTTAAGGTACTCGGCTGCTGATCCGCAGGTCGCGGGATCGAATCCCGGTGGCGGCAGCTCCATTTCCGATGGAGGCGGAAATGCTGTAGGCCGGTGTGCTCACATTTGGGTGCACGTTAAAGAACCCCAGTAGGTCGAAATTTCCGGAGCCCTCCACTACGGCGTCTCTCATAATCATATAGTGGTTTCGGGACGTTAAAGCCCACATATCAATCAATCATCACATATACGTTACGTTGGCGATGTCATAACGGTCCAGAAGTGCAAAGAATAATTTCGTCGCTTCTGCGGAGAAGTTCAAAGAAATTGTCAAAGCTCTGGAAGAGTATATGTTTTGTTAGAATATTTGTTTCCTTAGCGTTAATGCTTGTTTATATTCACTATGTACGAGTGTTTTTAATTTTATGCTTCAATTGTTATATGCACAAATTAGTTCCAAATTGTACAATTTTATGTATTAAGCCAACCTTGTATTTTTTTTTTCTTATATGTGTACTGCCCCTCCAGCTAGGAACAAGTTGGCCTGCAGTGTTTGAAATAAATAAAGAGATAAAATTCCTAGTATGTTTTCGGGATCAAGCAAACAGAGAGCGACCGAGAGGTGGGGGTGATGCAGGGAAGTTTAAACCCGGTGTTCTACGCGTCAGGACCATGACATGATTATGAGGCACGCCAAAATAAAGGGCTTCGGGAATTTCGACCATCTCGTTTTCTTTAACGTGCACCGACTTTGCAGAGTGCACGGGCCTCCAGCACTCCGACTCATTCTAAGTACGACTGCCTCGTCCGTAATCGAGGCAGATATAGGTTCGAGAGACATTTCGCTTTCATCGTAGTAATAAAACTATTACTTTATAAAGCACTGGTTCGCTCAAAATTGGAGTATTCTGCATCTGTCTGGATCCCCGGCATTGAATCACTCATTTCCGATTTGGCAGCTGTGCATAACCGTGCGTGCCGTTTTATACTCTCCAACTATCACCGAACAAGCAGCGTAACCACCATGAAATTAAGTTTGTCCCTCCCTCCTCTTTCTCATCGTAGGTCAGTAGCTTCATTATGTCTTTTTTTTTTGGCGGAAATGTTGTAGGCCCGTGTACTCAGATTTGAGTGCACGTTAAAGAACCCCAGGTGGTCAAAATTTCCGGAGCCCTCCACTACGGCGTCTCTCATAATCAAATGGTGGTTTTGGGACGTTAAGCTCCACAAATCAATCAATTATGTCTTTTCACAAAATTTATTACAACAGCTATCTGAAACAGAAATTATTAACAAGGCCTTCACACATATCAGCTCGAATTGATCACCACAATAAAGTTGGAGTTCCATCATGTCACACCAAATGTTTTCATGACTCTTTCATACCCAGAACTTGTGTCAGTTGGAATGATCTTCCCCATGATATCGCTTATATAACTGATAATAATATGTTTCGTAAAGCTATTAATCTTCTCTAAATGTTTATGTGTATGTATATATGTTTGTATATATGTAGTACATATGTGTGTATATACGAGCTTATTATTGTTCGTATACCTTTTTCCTTATCGAATTGTTGTCATTTATGCCTACTCTATTTCACTTACTTATCTGCTGTGAGTTTTTTTTTCCTTGCTGTTTTACATTGCTTCCGTTATGTATATCTCCACTGCCCTCTGTAATTCCCTCGGGCCCTGAGGGTACAATAAATAAATAAATAAATAAATAAATAAATAAATAAATAAATAAATAAATAAATAAGTTCGGCAGCCGTGATGCAGGATCGAGCCTATGCGTTCGCGAGCTTGGCAGCACAGTATACCTTAGCCGTTAAAATACCGCGGCGGTTTTCATCGCGGCCCCTGTGCTGGCAACGCGCTACGCAACGCTATACATAGCTTAAGCGAGCACGCGTTAAAGTAAATCGAGCGATAATAAAACGAAGACGCAAAGCGGTGAACACGATAGCCGGACACCCGAGCATTTGTACGAAGAGCACGAAAAGAACCTTTTACGCGTGCGACAGAAAACTTCCACGTATACCCATTTCCGTGGCCGGGTGAGAAGTGCAATTAAAATGCGGCGCGCGATACTCGTTTTTTTTTTTTTATGGCAGGAAAGTCTGCTTGAAAAAAGCACACGCTGTCAGCGAGCGTGCTTGATACATCCTAACTAACTCTGAGGTGTTGAGCATGCATGATAAGCGGTGTCTATATATATATATATATATATATATATATATATATATATATATATATGTTTGCAAATCGTGCATCCTTACTTTATCTCTGTCTTCACTCCTTTCCCCCTCAACACGTGTAGAACAGGGAATCTATACTTAATTCCGTGGAACTTTGCCTGTGTTCCTTGTAGTCATATATCAGTAAGCCCCGCCGTGGTGGTCTAGTGGCTAAGGTACTCGGCTGCTGACCCGCAGGTCGCGGAAATCCCGGCTGCGGCGGCTGCATTTCCGATGGAGGCGGAAATGTTGTAGGCCCGTGTGCTCAGATTTGGGTGCACGTTAAAGAACCCCAGGTGGTAGAAACTTCCGGAGCCCTCCACTACGGCGTCTCTCATAATCATATGGTGGTTTTGGGACGTTAAACCCCACAAATCAATCAATATATCAGTAAAAGACGTTGGCAAGTCACGGATACAAGAGTTCATAACACCAACGCTCGTGTCGTTCTGATCTTTTGTGTCCGTGTCTGCACACAAGCTTGTTTTAACTTGACATCGTTCCATCTAGATAGCCGCTCTTTCTGTCGTTTTGAGAATCACATCGTCGTTTTGGGCACTTAAAAACCCACTTCATTACTAGATTAGGCGGCCCGTGTTATCGTTCATCCATCTCGCGTGGCGTGATCACACAATATAAGGTGCTCAGAACAGGCTACAGGCCATAAGAAGGCTAGCGATGCAAGAAACAGGGTTCAAGTGAAGGTCTAAAATAATATAAACAGAAGTAGCCAAGACGTAGTCGAATTGACTAAACTGAAATTGCTGAAAAGTTTCGAAAACATGAGGCTGCCCCGCTGCAGTGGGCTAGTGGCTGATGTACTCGGCTGCTGATCCGCAGGTCGCGGGATCGAATCCCGGCTGCGGCAGCTCCATTTTCGGTGGAGACGGCAATGTTGTAGGCCCGTGTGCTCATTTTTGGGTGCACGTTAAAGAACCCCGCAGGAGGTCGAAATTTTCGGAGTCCCCCACTACGGCGTCTTTCATAATCATATGGTGGTTTCGGGACGTTAAACCCTACATATCAATCAATCGAAAACATGAGGGTGACTCCGGCGGGGCGCAAGAAAGGGTGCCATCGCCTCGCCGAGCGAGCGATTGTCCCCGTGAGCAAGCGAAGCCTCTGCCAGTACAAAAATGTAATTGACTAGAGTATAAAGTTGGGCATGTTGGTAAGACATACTTAATCGACGTAGCGCGTTTTGAAACATAGGACAATGGAAAGGACAGAAGGGAGCGCTTACTTCCAACAAAATTTTATTTCAAGGAGCGTACATATATATGCTCATGAAATTCGCTCCCTTCTGCGCTCCCTTCTGTCCCTTCCCTTGTCCTATGTTTCAAAACGCGCTACGCCGATTAAGCAGTACAAAAAGCTTCGCTTGAAAAATGGAACTGCCCGCGCGTTCGTCCTGCGACTGAGTGTCACTGCCGGAGTAATAATCACGCGTAGGCGATAACTTTACGGGCATCGTATCTATATCTGTGATCGCAAGTGCAACGTACGGGCAAATTGAATGCTGGTATACCATGTAGCGACGGAATAGCTTATCGCGGATAACGCGTTTCCCCAAGGCCTTGTCAGCCGTGCGCGCGCATGGGGTAATAAAATCACGTGACATTGCGAGAGACACGAACCTGTATGCTGTGATAACAGACCTTTGTCAAACCTCCGGTCACGAAACAATGGCGGACTTGCCCAGAATCACAGAGCATGAGCGACAGACGAAGCACAAATGAGAGCGACATAACAAAGCGTAGACGTCGAACTTTGTGAGCAGAAGTAGTGTTCGTACAAAACGGCGTACCATCGTTATACCGGAGATTGCTGTTTTTCCAGCAGACACAAGTGCCCTTTACGCATCGAGATAATGAAGCCGGCATAATCAGCGTTAATTTTATCCTGGCTGCCATCTAGTTCTATCGCAAAAAGCAGATGTACGCTTAAGCAAAAAAAAAAAAAAACGTGCAGGACAGCTTGACAGGCACATCTGGCAACGAGACATAAATCTGTGACAGCGATAACCCGCGGCCACGGTCATGCACTAATGAATGTACGCGCAAAGATATTGTGTGCTCAAGTCTCTACAGCCCCCACGTATTGGGTACTGTCACGGTGACAAGTTGCTCGCGTTACGTCACAAGCAAAATATCGGTACAGTACCCCTTCTGACGTACTTCCTAGCCGTTTCAGCTCTAATATCCGAACATGTTGTCTATAAATTGTTTTTCACTTGGTCATATATGTCGAACAATCAATCGATCGATCAATCAATCAATCAATCAATCAATCAATCAATCAATCAATCAATCAATCAATCAATCAATCAATCAATCAATCAATCAATCAATCAATCAATCACGTGTGCACATACCTTGGCATCCTCTTCCATCTGGTCAAGCATGCGTTTCACGACGTTCTGATACTTCTCCCAGAAGTTGAAGCCGTGAGGTTCCAGCCCGGGCGTCCGTTCCAACCACCGCTGCGACCCGGCAACGCCAGCGCAGGACAAGGCACAAAAGACACAAAATCACGTAACGTTCACTCAGTTCTTTCTCTTCCCTGCAGCATATGAATACAAAACGTTATAGGCTGCAGTGCTAACGAAGAAACTTCATGCAGAAGGCCACGTTCGCGTAACTATACGTTTCTGGGCTGTAGGTATGCTAGCTAACACCATCTGCTACCGATGCGTTTATGTTGATCCCCTTCCCCTTCTTTCTCTCGTTTTCCGCATTTTATCTCCGAGGAGAGAGAGGTGTGCATACCCCTACCCTCAGTGCACGACATCCAACCGGAGTCCGTACTTTCTTACCGAGTAACAAGACATTCCTTCAACACCGTCTCGGCAACAGCGCTCATATTGCATTCGTGGACCGTAAAGGAACACGACATCGGTACAGTGGAGCGAGACCTGTAAAAATTAGCGATCGTACAGGGAAAACAGGGCGTGCCCACCTCTACGAGCTGTAGTAACGTGAGCTCCTTCTCGGACTCCTGAATCTTGTGGATGGCGGAGGGGTCCTCGAACACCTTCTGGTAGTGCTGCTTGCCGTAGTTCACTCGCAGCTCCTGGGAATCGAGACAAACGCGAGCCTTTTTAATATCAAATCACCGCAAACAAAAAACAACATACATCGGTGGGATCAATAGCGGATGCCACTAGAATCAAAACATATTCACACCCACAGCTGTTCCCCGAGCCCCGTCGTCATCCTGCCACGCTGCTTGAATCACTTACATGCTCTGAGAACTATTTCCTGTTGATCACTTTCCCGTTGATCAAGGTGATTACAGATTATCACCATGCGTACACTATCCTGTTGTGCGTGTCAGATGCACTTTTTTGAAGGTCTCTGAACTGTTATCAATTTATTGCCGGCTCGTGAAACGATTGTCTTGCTGTCGGGTTTACTGCTTATATATAAACGACTTCTCGACGAAACAGTATCGTAACACGGGCGTCACAACTATACGTCAGTGCCAACTGTCCACACGGAAAGGTGCTCACCACTGGGCTACATGCGGATGACAAAAGATGGTTGACCATGCAATAGAAAACACCGCAAATCGGCTAGGCTGTCTGCATTTCAGTGACGAAGATATGAGTAATAACCCAGAAAAAATTGTTCTGTATATTATACCAGGGGCTGGCAAGCTGCGGCCCACAAGGCAGAACTATGTGGCATCCGGCACGATGTCATACACTCCCCCGCCCCATCTCCTTCCCTTATCACTTGCTATCTGTCGGCAGACATGCCAGTTTTAAACTAAAATAGAATTTGCGCTTGTAACCTAATGTTGTGACGTTCGCGCTGAAAATAATCGGAATTTTTTTCATCTAGTTCTGTAGTATATATCATTGTCGATTCGCCGAATTTTTCTCTTCGCCTTCAAAGCTTATATAAACGACTTCTGGATATCCCCGCACCCCGATTTTTCGCTCAGCCTCCCCCTCCCACACACACTATGTTGCCTTCACGGAACTCGGCCCTTCGCCTCAAAAGGTTGCTCAATACCCTACTCTATACCCTAATTTTAATGTCGCAAATGTACAAGGAAAAGGAAACAAAGCAGAAAGAATCATCACGATCTAGCCTATCAACTATGTCGACATCATTTTAATATATTTATCCCGTGACACATCACAACTCTGACTTAATTACGGTACAGCGTCTGAAGCGTTAAAATAAGGTACAGTACCATAGTTTTCAATGACCCCTACACTTTTTTTTTTGCGTTGTAACACAGAAACCACAGGGAACACTATATTACTTGCAGGGCATCTACAATCTGTTATTAGGTGTGGTTAACCCATCCCTTCCACTTTCCTGTGATAGATTTCTTGACTGGGGGAGGGCAGGGAAGGCTCCTATATAAGTTGCGCGCTGAAAATAAAACACCCGGGCTTCGACCATCACTGGACGCTCACTTCCTTTCGGAGACCGAGGAAATGCAGTCGGATGCGGCTTCCCGGTTCTTTGACGCGCCCGTACACGTCAACGCCACGCGCTGCGTGATTCACGCACGCATCGATATCGGTCGACTCAAAATCGCGAAGGTCACACCAACGCCTCCTCTAGAAGATGCCTGCCGCATGAAAAGAAAAACGGCTGCCACAACCTTTCCCTCCTTTATTTTAGAATGTTCTCGGTCGCTAGCGTCACCTGTGGCGGACGGTGCAACAACGCAACACTTCGCATAGCCTCCGAAATAGCGGTGTATAGTTGCAGGTCTCGAACAACTCTCGACTGACGCGCCCCTATGGGCCGCCGATGAAAAACGCTTAGCTGGTACCACTTTTCCACCGTGGCTGGTACCGCCCGCTGCCGTGATAATAGTCTCGGTCGCGAGCGCCACCGCGCGGCGCTTGCTCAAAACTGAAGGCAGGCCAACTCCGCTGGGAGCGCGAGCCATTCTTCAGGCATCTTTCTAGAGGAGGCGTTGGTCACACACGTGCAGACGAATAAACTCTACTTCCCACGAAGCGCTACCCTAATTGATCGCAAGTCATTGATTGATATGTGGGGTTTAACGTCCCAAAGCCACCATATGATTATACGAGACGCCGTAGTGGAGGGCTCCGGAAATTTCGACCACCTGGGCTTCTTTAACGTGCACCCAAATCTGAGCACACGGGCCTACAACATTTCCGCCTCCATCGGAAATGCAGCCGCCGCAGCCGGGATTCGAGCCCGCGACCTGCGGGTCAGCAGCCGAGTACCTTAGCCACTAGACCACCGCGGCGGGGCTGATCGCAAGTTATACCACATCGGATAAGTGGTTGGAGCTCCGGAAAATTTGCCTTTCTGGTATTCTTTAACGCGCACCTATAAATATATCCGCACGGCCCTTCAGCGAAAGGAGGTCGCCGCGGCCGGGATTCGATCACGTGACCTCCGAGTATGCAGTCGAGCACAATATACCACGAAACCACCGCGACGGTTGGGTCAAGGCAAGGCAGATTATTTGTTACAAAGATCGAAGCTCACTGATCTACACATACACTCATAACTCCCTTGTGGCGAACTGGGTGAAAAACTCCCGAGAGTTCGCTGACATCGTTCCATGAAAATACTTGCAAGCCACGAGCGCGCTGTATTCAGAAAAGGAGTTTTACTCTCTTAAACGTTTTTAGGGGCGAAGCTCCTTAGGGCGTGGGCTGTGCGTCCCCTGTAGCCTGTATGTAGCCACCTCTAGTTTAGTTCTTGTAGTGTTCACTAGATGGCGGTACCGTCCCCTGTATGTAGCCACCTCTAGTTTAGTTCTTGCAGTGTTCACTAGATGGCGGTACCGTCTCCTGTATGTAGCCACCTCTCGTTTAGTTCTTGTAGTGTTTACTAGATGGTGGTACTTGTAGCTGATGATGAAAAGATGCAAGATGTTATAAACTAGAAAGCGGTACTTGTAGTTGATGAAAGACGCGAGATCTTATAAAATAGGAATGATGTCACATATGGCGCGTGTCATTGCGTTACGAAATTATGAGAACAAATACAAGAATGGACCATTTGTACTACTTGGAAACTTTAACGTGGCTATCATAGACAATAATTGGCTTATCCAACATATGGCTTCTAGATATGCACTCAGACGTATATCGTTTGCCATATGAAACCTACCACGATCCGAGGAACATGCATAGACCTAGTATTTGCAAATTGCCCACTGCAACCCATACAGGAACCGCTCTCCCTTCATTTCACAGACCATAAAGCCGTCATAATGAAGGGACATCGCAAGCCATCCATCGTCTAAGAACAAATAAAAGTTGATTTGTGTATATACACACACAGCGTTTCTCACGTCTTTACATGATGATCGACTGGGCGAATTACACGGAAGATTCACAGTTTACCGATGAATCCCTCCGGAGCTTCGCCCATTCATCATCATTCACCCCGTGAATATGCCGTAATTTTTTTATTTTCTAGATGCGTACTTTTGTGCTGCAACCACTCCGTGTCAAGGTGTCATGAGGACAATGAAACATGGATACCGAAAACGCATCACCAAAACAGCTGTTCGCAAGGTGCGCGTCAAGGAAGGTTTCATATGTGAGCCACGCTATGTGCTGAACCGCATACCGTCCTGTACAACTTTACACAGCTGTTTTTTATCGTGCGAGCCTCAAGCTAGAAGGCATTGACCTGGCGACCACAGCCGTGTAGAACGTATGACGTGTAGTATGCGTCGATCGCACTCTGAGACTGACTCGGTCAGCTTTTCGAAGCAACGGTCGAAGGTTTTAACAGCGGAGCTATTCTAGGTTGAGCCTGCGCCGTCTTCATGTTTGTCGGGTGCCACGAAGGTCACTCGACACGTGACATGAAGATGTTCTAAATGTTGTTGTTGATGATGATGATGCTTGAAATGAGTATATATAATCCATCCTCACATAGGCTCACGCGCACACAGCTTCGCCATTGGACGGTTTTCATGGTGAGGAACTGGCAGAGTTTTTTAAAATGTTAAAAAAACTTTAAAGATGAATGCAATCTTGCAGCATTTCCAGTCGCAGGCGAATTTGCTGATTTCCGAGTGTAGTCTTATTTCTGTGGCGAATAGCAATTGGATAGACAGGATAATCGAATTTTCGCCGTTGGTGCCACCGTGACCAATGCGGTCACCGTCATGCCCGGTATAAGGTTCAAATCAATAACATCCCTCCGTGCATCGTGTTTTCTACCCACTAGCAAAAAGGCGCGAACGGGAGTGACGAACTCGGCCGAATCAGAAATCAAACAAGCCGGCCCATCTCCGTCTCAAGGAGGGCGCGTTCGATAACACCATCCCGCATGCGAGGTCTCAGGTCGATTGCTGATCAAGCCGAAAAGAAACGCCCTGCCAGTCTTGAAGTAGCACGAAAAAACGGCGGGGGAACGGGGAGGGGGGTGTATCACTCTAGCAGCAACTGTGGATTTCGGTTATAAAGGCGCGGTCGCGATCACTCGTGCATGCGCGCGCTATCTCGGCAGGCATCAGCATACGGCCCGTATACCCTTATACGTGCTGTGCTCTGAAAGCGAAAAAAAAAAAATGGCAGCATATCCACGGAGTGAATGATGGAGAGTGGGGCGAACAATTCGTCCGTCCATTCGTTCTTGCTTCCGTCCGTCCATGCGTCCGTCAGTGTGACCGTCCATGCGTCCATCAGCCCGTTCGTGCGTGCGTCTGTTCCTGCGTCCGTCCCTGCGTTCGTCCATGCAGCCGCCCCTGCGTCCGTTCATGCGTCCATCCATGCATCTGTCTATGTGTCCGTTCGTCCATCTATTCAACACTCCAAGTACCACCATCTCGCATCTTTTCATCATATTGTCATGTGCGTCCCGCGAAAAAAAACGAAGGCGACAGCGCATACGCGCATCTGCACGCTTTTATGCAGAACGCAACAACGAGAAAGACGAGGAACTCTCTCTCGCGCGCGGTTAATAAAAAGACCGACCCGCTGCTGTTTTCTCAGCGTCTTCAAGTACGACCTCTGTCTTGACGTCGCGACAATATATTCCCCATATAGAAGCACCGCCATCCAGTGGACATTCCAAGGACTAAACGAGAGGTGGCACACGCACACTTTCTTACGGCTTGCGCTTCGGGTCCACTACCCACCTTTAACCACCTCGAGTTCATGGTATATACTAGTTCACTGTATTCATGGCACTGCGGCCGAACGCTCGCTAAACCTTTCGAAAACCTAGGAGGTTACGCCCAGCGAGTATGACGTAGCAAACTTTTTCAGTCAGATAGTGCTCAATGTACATGCCAATGGCTGCTAATGGGAAATGAGAGGCGGAGAATTCGGCTTTTACTTTCTTACGGCTTGCGCTTCGTATCTACTTCCCATTTTTAACCACCTCGAGTTCATTCATGGTATATACAAGTTCATTGAATGGCACTGCGGCTCAACGCTCGCTAAACCTTTCTAAAGCTAAGGAGGTTACACCCAGCGAGTATAGCAACCCTTTCTTGTCCGATAGTGCTCAAGGTACATGCCAATGGCTGCTAATGGTGATCGCAGCCTTGCGCGTTAACCAAAAGCCGAATGCTCCTGTCTCTCATTCCCCATTAGCAGCCATTGGCATGTACATTGAGCACTATCTTTTATTGTTCAACAACGCACAGAAGAAGTCTCTCACCGGCACCACCTTGGAGGTCAAAATGTTATACTTGTTACATACTACGGGGGACGAACGGGTGCCGCTATAAAAAGCTTTGCCCCTAAAAAGGAAGAAAATCGCTTCTTTCCCTGGAGCGGCCATATTCTCTGACACCAGCGTTTTGTAGAGTTATGCGAGATCGGATTCAAACGAGTTAGCCGCCAGCCTCACAACGTATAACATTGCAATTTCTTGCTATCGCATACATTGCTTCACCATTGTAATGAAAGTGTGACTTTTTATGCGATAGCAATTATATGGACAGTCTCGGGTGGTTTTTTGCCGTCGCCGCAGCCACCACCGCCGTCATTCACCGTATATGTATACGTATCTATAAATATATAAAAACTCAAGAAAGAGAAAAAAAAAGCCACCCGTGCTCGGCGCCCATCTCGTCACGATGCGCCGACGCGCGCTCATCTCTCACGCGTACTTTGCCCCGCGAATGGGGAGGGGGGGGGGGGTACATGCTTGTGCGTACGCGCTTATACTTCGGTGGGGAGAATCGCGCTCATTCGACTTCGACCGGAGCGATTGCGTATATTTTCCAGGCGCACAAAGATCACTTCGCTCGCTAGATAGGCGCCGTTTGCGAAAAGAACACGCTTTTCATACACAGTGGAGTAACAACTGGGGAACTTGTTAGTTCGCACTCATATCATAACCTGTGATTACGTTTCATGCCTCGTTTTTGTTTTAACAGTGCGTTAAGGGTCGATCTGTAATTGTTCTTAGTTCGCTCTCGTCCTGTGTATGTTGTTTTCATGCGTCATTTGTGCGTGAGCAGCGTGCTGCACGTTTCGATCTGCTTGCCGTTCTCAACGTTACATTCCAAGTTGTTGCTATCGCATTCATTGCTTCACCCTTGCGGTGAAACTGTGACTTTTTAACAAACTCATCCAAATATTGCACTTTTTTCTCTACTCATTGCCTGTGCGCATGTACCAAACTCATCACAAAAGTTTAAGTCCGGTGTATAGGCGAGCTTGGCTGCATCTAATTTCGAATAGTAATCAGTTTACTTGTGTAATCTAGTATGGTTGACTGTTTACAAGAAAAGCTAACAGGAAAAGAAGAGAAACAGGAAGGGAGGGAGCAAGGAATGACGGCGCACATGTAGATTTATATATAATTGTATGCCTCTTCACTTTGTTTATATACATATTTTGTATGCCTCTTTGTTCACTTTTTTTTGCTGTTACACTGTACGCATAATTTCGTTGATCCTACATACTGTTACTTCGTCTATTTTCACCTTTTTTACATAAACGTATTTTTACTTCAGTTTTGCCATTATACACCTCTTTGATCACCCCTTTTTTACGTATTAGGATGTACTATTATTATGATGTACTATTACGTCTTCTCGTCTGCCTTTGTTAACCGCCATTATTTTTATGCATAATTGAATATTTGATATTTGTATTGTCATATTGTAACAATTCAATATGCCCTTCCTGTAAAGATCCCTGATGGGATCGACAGTATGAATAAATAAAAAAATAAATAAGCAAAAAAGTAGATAGCCAGGAGTGGCGCAGCCGGAAATTTTTTTCTGGCGTGGGGTTGGGGTTTCAGCAATACTTTGTGTACGTGCGTGCATATACACATGAACAATTGAAAATTTTGGGGAGCGGAAGGTGAACCCTCACCCCCCCTGGCTACGTGAGTGACAGCCATATAATAATGAATGCAGAGTGGAACACAATGCTTACGTTCTTCACTCCCAGCTTGTTTTCGATAAGGCGAAACTGGAGACTTTGGAACCCTGATGCTGGCGCCAGGTAACCTCTGCGAAAGAAGGAACGGGTTTGAAATAGGACCGCATTTTTTTGATGATGATGGACGCAACACCTTCTGTGTTGATGATTATCAACAACACCTTCTCTCTCTTTTCTTTTCCACCCCCTTCGCTTTTCTAACGCTGAGTAGCAGGCCAGAGAGTAGATTGAGGCCGAGCTGTCAGCTTTTCTGCCATAATAAAGACTATCCCTTTCTCTCATTTCTTGACTATATCAAGTCTTGAAATGTTTTATGCTCTGTGTTATTGTAATACCATTATATGGTGCAATATATAACCATATTCTCCATTTTATGACATTTAATCGAAATATAAATAAATAAACCAATAAATAAATAAATAAATAAATAAATAAATAATATGCACGTACTTCGATTTCTTTTAAATGATTGACCTCAAAGCAAACAGCCTCAGGATTGTCAGACGGAAAACTCGTTTGTCAAGATGCATTCACTAAATAAAAGAACATGAAACGCCCTGACGCATGCCATTTCAGATCTTCCATCCATACACCCATACATTGGCATTCAAATCAATCAATCAATCAATCAATCAATCAATCAATCAATCAATCACAAAGTAATGATAGAAAATCAAATTGTCTGTTCTGATTCTCTGCTTCTCTGCCCTTGTCCTTTCGTCCACCATCTCTCTCTATTTTTTTTGCCCTGGGCGGGGCTTTGCACGTGATGAAAACTGTTGTCGCCATAGCAACGGCGTCGAAAACGGTGAAAATTTGCCTCGAGTGTCTATGCAAATGTCATTGAATTCAACTTATAAAAAGAACGAAAGCTTAGACTCGAAAGGAAAGCTGGCCAACCAAACCTTGGCCCAGTCTTTGTTTAGAGTACACCTGTTGGTGTTTTTATAATGCACTGAGCAGTTGGTGCGTGGTCGTTGTCGATATTCGCTATACCACTGTTGCTTAGAATTAGTTTCTTGATGGCGTGCAATAAATATTGAGTTTTTAGTAAACGAGGTACAAGAAAAAGTGCCGCCATATCCACGAAGTGAATGATGATGAGTGAGCGAAGCTCCGGAGGTAAACCTGAACCATGAATCCTCCGTACATTTTGCCCACTCGATTTTATTACAACGCTCCCCCTAGCGTACATCGCCGCACTAAATTTAACGATTGCCTTCCACCAATGACACGCGCCATATGTGACATCATTCCTATTTTATAACATCTCGCATCTTTCATCATTAACTACAAGTACCGCCGTCTAGATAATAACATTTTGCATCTTTTCGTCATCAGTTACAAGTACCGCCATCTAGTGAACACTGCAAGAACTAAACGAGAGGTGGCTACATACAGGGGACGCACAGCCCACGCCTTAAGGAGCTTCGCCCCTAAAAAGAACGACGTTCTTTCGCATGGACGGGAATAGTTCAATGTCAAGGTTGGCCACATTAAAGTAGCGTGACATTATCGAGCATCAGAAAAAAGACTTCTTTTTATAATAATGCGAAAGTACAACGTGCCTAATCAGACGCGGCCTTCAAAAACGCGGTGTGTGGCATACACCTTAATAGAACTCAGACAAACAAAACCAGGGTCCGAGACGGAATCGAACTCGGGTATTCTACGTGGCAGTTGATTATTATACCCCAAAGGCACAACGATTCTTCAAACCACTCTGGAAAAACACGATATTCAGTCGTGATGTCAGACAAGGAGTCACCTTAACAGATGTAACATCGCGTGGCAGAAGCGCCGAATAGCATCAGGCGTCACATCATGCAAATTTTACGACGAGTCGGTGGCGGGACACTGCCAACCAATTGAAAATTACTGAGCTATATCCTACCTTCATCAGCCACAGCATCAACACTGCTTAGCTACTCACGTGACCACCGAAAACAACAATGATGGTGATAATGTAGGCACCGAATGGTTACGTCATCATGATCATACTAATTTTTGCTATCTACGTCGTCATCGTCAGAGCTTTCGTCTGGATTTCATCTTGGAATCGTATTAGGCGAATACATAGGGGACCATGTGATCATTTAACCATGTGCAATGAGATTAAATGCGAAGCTCGGTAGGCACCACCGTAAAGTGTCAGATGCATACATCTATATTGAAGGATGGCAGGGTGGTGTCCGCTTCGACGGGAGTACGTGCATTTGTAATTTAGTCCGAGCCATCGGAGCGGACAAACTAATCAAGCCCTGTAGTTGCATCTGTGGATGTACCCGTAATGTCGGAGCCTTAGTGTAGGTTAGAAGTATGACAGTTTGGGCTAGTTGGTATGACATGACGAACAGCGCGAGAACGGAACGACGACAAAGTCCTTCTTGTCTCTTTGTCGTGGTTCTGTTTTCGCGACATTATTATCGTCTTAGTGTAGGATTCAACGTCATGAAAGTGCTCTGGGGCACAGCAACAAAATGATCAAAATTAACTGTGGTCCGCTATAGGTTTATTTTACATGCGTTGTGTATGTACCTTAGCATTGTACCTTGCGTCAGAATATCGCTGCAGTAAACAGAAGTAAAACTCGCGACCTCGCGCTAAACAGCACGACGTCGTATACACTGAGACAGCGCGGCGGCTGAGTTGTAATCGGCGTTAACGACTGATACGCAAAGAACACAGACTTGTTCGTGATTACGGATGAAGGCAGTGCAATACTTTAATCCGAGGCATAGGTATTGGGTCATTGGCAATAACGCGTTTTCTTATTGGTGACCATTCTTACCAGTAGCCTGCCGTCCAGCGGCTTTCTCATTCTTGTGGACATTGCGTCGGGCACTGTCTCCAGCCATCGTATACAGTGACTCGCTATGTGTCCCCTCCCGGTCTTATAGACTTATGAATGACCTCGATGGGAAATCAAGATGGACGATTGGGCCAGTAGGTGATACATGATCTAAGAGTACTACGCGGTAGAAAACACGGACGGGAAAAGACAAGGACTGCGCTTGTCCTTGTCTTTTCCCGTCCGTCTTTTCGACCGCGTAGTACTCTTAGTTCAATGGGAAACTGCGCCGTCAATGTGCAGACTCGGATGAACCATGTTTCTGCATCCTTCGCCTTAACTTCCTTTTTTTACCCTTTCTCTTTCTCCCAGTGCAGGGTAGTAAACCTGACGTTCGTCTGATCAACCTCCCCGGCTTGCTTTACCTCTTCTTTCTCTCTGTTACAACGTGTTCTCACCTTACATACAAACGAGATGTACCCCACTAACCATACTTCCTTCGCAAGCTCGCCATAACTGTTCGTGTTCCTCGTTCAACGATCGACGCGGGCACTGCGCACCGACTGAATGAAAAGCTACTGCGCACTTTCTTTTATTTTTTGTTCTGTGTGTAGATGGCTTGCATTGACGTCACTGAAGCAGTCACGTTGGAGCACCAACATAAGAGAGTTTTAGTACTGCGTACGCTGCGTACGTGGCGGCGTTGCGTACGTAAGGACGCCACGTTCTGCGCATGCGCAGACCGCAACGCGCACGTATCGCGTTACGTACGCAGCCGCTACGTACGCACGCATGAGATGCGTGCGTGCGTACGTATGAGCTGATCGCGCCGCTTTTGAACAAGTTCGCGACAGCGCGAGACTTCGTATTGCAAAATGGCGGCATCGAATGCAAGCACAAACCGGCTCTGTGGCTTAAAATATGGCCATAATCTGGCTATAACACTTGGATTGGCTCACATTGGCTGTCATCAACACGTGCTTCTATTTTTCTATTTTGATCTACCAGATGGCGCAACACGCTTCACGCTCGTTACGTGCGCGGGTACTACGGCGTACTAAAAGCCGATTAGTGGCAAACGACGCCACGTAACGCAAGGCGCTTGCGTGATGCGTACGTAGCACCATTTCGCAGTACTAAAACTCTCTATAGTGGGAACCGAAATTTGTGTACGCCGCATGCTGGTTTTTTCGTCGTTCATGCACATAGGCCCAACAACGCTCCACTGACGCCGTTATCACACTGAACCAGGTTCATCACCACGTGATTATACTGCCTCGGGGTCCTCTAATCCGCCATATTGTAGCCATTTTGTCCGTCCACGACGTCAGGTGCAAGATATATCAACACCAGTGCGTGCAATACACGCTATTCGCCAACGGCACCACTTCGCGCGTGGAAAACGTGAGAAATCCCACCTGAATTCCATGAAGTCAAGGGGAGTCATGGTTTCCAGGATCTCGACTTGTTCTTGCAGCAGCTGTCATTCGGAAAGAAATGAGAGAGGCACATTTTAGGCGAGCAGTGAAACGTAAAGACGGTCAATGCTTTCGGTACACGAGAACGCTCGACACTGACGCTGTTAGTCTTGCATAGTCAGCTTGCTTGATATACATCGCAATACACTGCCATCCACAGAGACTCGCGTGCATGTAAACGCTCGTTGAAAAGAATAAGTCCCTTCTTTTTCAATATTGAGCCATTTTATGTATTACGAGAGTCACCCGGTACACGCCTGATTGCGACGGCGTTAAATGGAGATCGCGTTCTCCTTTTGAGACTTTTTTAAAAATATTCAGCGCCTGAATGTTTGCGACCTTTCAGCTTCAATGATGCTTCCTCAAAGGTGATGATGCTTCCTCAATGCGCTCGCGAAGATAAATATTCTTCGTTCGTTAAAGCACGAATAAAGTATCAAGTGGTTTGAAAAGAGTGTTGTCGACTGTCGTCGGCGCCACATAATAGGTGTCTCACTACCAAGTAGCAATCGAGACAAGTGCCGTTCTTTGTCCGAACAAAATGTTTATCAAGAACACGCATCAGCCAACTCGATCATGTTTGGGACTTATGCAACGCCAGTTTGAACTTCGGTCCGTAGTGAACGCGAGGACGGCAAACGGTGCAGCTGCAGCTGTTTACGACACAATCTCTCCCGAAAAGCAGAGACACCTCTACGATATTCTCGAAGTGTGCCAAAAACAGATCAGCGTCCAACAACAGTGGGTCCAAGTCTTTGCGCCTATCGCTGTCTCTCGGAAGAAGCCGGTTGCACTTCATGCGTACCAACATTATCACGTGCGGGGCAGAAACTACAATGCAGCTGTCCGAGCTTGAAGTGTTTGGTAAACGTGTTTCGCCGATATAAGCAAAAAAATTCCGTGTACTCTCTATCGTGAGGGATCTCCATGATGGACGAAGGCGCTTTACTCTTCACGGCGCGGTGACAGCCTTGGGCGTTGTCCGTCGATGGCGTCTGCGAGCTCCTCGTCACCCGTATATATCCGGCCTTGGCGAACGGGTGCCCGCAACGAATATTTCATGTCTCGAGCGAACCCACAGCGGACATGAACTATTACGAGTGACCAAGCACGGCACAAGCAAAAACGCTTCGAGCTCTTCTCGCAGGGGACCTTGGTGAAAAGAGTTATTTTTACGCTATGTGCCATTAATTGGCTCATTATCGCCACTCGCAAAATGTAGCAACTCAGAGGGTGGAGGATCGCGCCGGAACTCGACTAACCCTGGCCGATTCGCGCCCGGAATAAAATTTGGGCTTATCTGTTTCCCGAAGGAGACACAGCAGCATTAATGTTGAGTGTTTTTTTTTCTCTCTTCACGTCATAGACAAGAAAATATGATTGATGACTGAGCGTTATAACGTTCAACGCTTCCTGTTTTCCTGTTTGTAATACAGCATGTACAGACTAAATACATATGCCGCTCGTTACCTGAGAGCAATGGCAATCAATCAAAGCAATAGGAAATGCGCGCGAGGTGAACAGCGTCGACGTGTTTCGCAACAAGGTAATGCCCGAGAAGGTAAACGTTTTGTTAATGAGTATAGAAAACGGCTTCCGGAAGTGAAGTCACCTCGTATGCTAGAACGTCGCATTAATGTCGCAACAGTGACGTGCGCCTTATAAAGAGCATGAAATATAACCAGTAGGGTGGATAGATTATCGAACATAGAAGTACGCGTACGTATATGTGAGCTTTGCTTCGAGGATTGAACTATCATTTGCCTTCGTAAGAATCAACTCACAAGAAAAGTCTTCGAATCATATGCATATCACATTTGTAAAAAAAAGAACAAAAATAAGAGATTTGGGCGATACCACGCATCAGCGTCATTGTCACAGATCGAGATTAGTGTTCTTCCTGCCTCTCTTCGTGATTGGGCTTTTCTCGCGCACGTGGCATTCACGGTTGCGCAGTATAGTTTCACGCACATATTCGGTTTTTAATTTCGTCCACGTTTAAAGGCAACGACGTGCACGTGAGATCTTCGTGCATGAAAGTACGTGTTATTTCCAATAGAATTCTAAGTTGCGAGTCGGCGCCCGTTCCGCCGCTTCTTTATTTGTCGCCCCTGTTTCTTTCAGCGCTCCACCTCAATCGACTCTAAGGTGTCGACGGCAGCGCCTCTCCTAGGCAGAAATAGTCACCGCGTATGACGATACCTGGAAGCAACGCTTGATATCTGCGGCATCACCTTTAGCAAGGAGGTGGCGTTGGGATCAACAAGCCGGTCGAGTGAAGAACGAATTTCGAGCTGAGGTTTGTTTAAAAACACGAAGGTTATACGACTCATCCAGCGACATATTCCTCGGATTGACTGCATATTCTGCTTACAGAAAAAATTTACAAAAGACGCGTGGTAGGCGCCATACTGGGTTCGCCAAGCGAACGTTTCCTTATTTTCGTACATGGCGACCTGAATGAAACATCAAACGCATCAACTCAATCGTTCTCACGAGTCGCATCTATACCGTAGCCCTATAGGTCGGTAAAAATTGTGGAGCTCACTCAAACTCACCCGAGAATTATATTCATAAAAATTTTTCTTCAACCAGACTGGAATTCTCCAAAGTATTTATCACCCTGACTCAGACTCACGGGTATATTTGACTCTGACCCCCGTATTCACAAACGCTCCTGGACTCGAGTTTCATCCTTCACTTGACAGAGTTGAGCACTGTGCCGCTTCTCGGCTGAAAATGACGCTGTGCTACTCGAGAATAGCAGCAAATTATCACTGACACGTAGTGACTTGCCCTGCCTATAGATGGCGCTCCGATCGGCTTTCTCGAGTGAAGGTGGAGCGTTGAGTGAAGGGGCGTTCTAGAATACGGGCTTGAGGGAGTTCGAGTGAATCGACTCACGAACGAGTTCACCGACCTGCGACCGTAACACTGTTCATTTCACAAATCTGTTCCGTAGCACTGTTCGTATCACAAAACAGCAAAGCTACAGCTTGGAATGGCGGCACCGAAACCCATCCGTATCCATACGCCTGCCGCTTGTCATCTTTCCCTGAAAGCAACTGATCGTTAAAAACGAAGGTAAAATGCCAGAGAATGAAAATGACACGTTAGTAGTTAGGGTGCCCGATAAACAAGCAAGGGTACACTATGTAATTCTTAATCTCGTATTCAGTGACGACGTATCAGGTTGAAAACCATGCACTATGTCGACCTTTTTCGCGCATGACGGGACATCGCCACCGCTATAGTGAACCATTGAACCTAACACGGCAATTCAGTAGGCTCATTACAAATAAAAAAAGTTTGTTTGAAAACGCTTTTGTGTTTAAACGGAGGCCATGATTTGTCTACTGTCAGGGAGACTTACCTTGAGAATGAGCACGACGCGGTTCATCCGAGACGTGATTTGGAACATGTTAGATTCGTTCATGTCCTGCGAATCACAAGGAATACGCAATGGTTGGCGGAAATAAGGATGTACTTTGATTAAAGGTGAGTGGACTGTTTGAATATAAATATAGGGCCACCTATTATATCCATACTCATCTGAATCAAAACTTTTGAGGCGCTAATTGAAATACACGTTACTTACGACAGTCTTTGTTGTTCGTCGAAGGTGTTATTATGCCGATTCGCTTGCTCCTTACGCTTACTAAAGTCCCGCTTAAAGGGCTAGATGTAGATATGACGTCTGTTTTGTCATCATCGTTAGAGTATGTCTAAGAAGGAAATGTTCTGTTGAGCTGTTATATACGTTCGTGGCAATAAATTTTTTTCTAAATGAAACTGGACATTTCTCGTCTGGTTTCATGGATATTGGCAGCATTTAAGCCAGGACCTGATTAAGAGTGATTGATTGATCGAACGGGTGACTACATATACTAAAGAATGCATGTATGAGGAGAGTTCGAACATAACAGCAAACATGACTTTTTGTTTCACGTTTTTTTTTAAATTTCAGAAAGTGTTCTTGTAAAATATCCTTGGCGAACACTCAATTGATACATCATAATAAAAAGTAGTGCAAGCTCAGACAATATACAAGAATACTCGGCCCAGGCCTATGAAAAAGAAAATTACTCACTTTCGAAGTCCAGCAGCGGCTTTATAGAGTCCAGCTCGAAGATGATTTGTTTGAACCATAGTTCGTAAGCTGTATCAGGAAAAAAAAGAAAAAAAAACAGAAACAAAAAATTCAAGTAACGAAGAAGCCTAATATCAAGTTGCAGGCATAAACACACGTGTACTATATTTTCCTCTTGTCTGCTCCACATTAATAAACCAAACTGTTCGATTAAAAACCTTTGAAACAAAAGAGAAAAAAAATGCGTATAGCTTGCAATCGAGACACAATGCTAATAGTTCTAATATGAGTGAAGGCTTTATTGGCCAGAAGGAACGCCAATGGGCGGCGAAACCCATTTGAAGCTGCGCACCACTTTTTCCTGACGTCACATATTTTCGTAGCGCCTCATCGGGGTTCAAGTCAGTAGGCGAGTTAACATATGGTGATTAGATCCAACTCTAATGTAACTAACGATACAACTTAACGACTCATTACGCGAAAGAGGGAGTCCGAAATGAGGGGATATTCTGCCGGTGCGGCGCCTTCTATTCATCTGCCTGTGAACGATGTTGTTTGGATAATTACTCTCTACTCCGGGGTTAGCTTGCTGCCTGCGCAGAGGTTGAGCCACACAGCATGCCGTGCTCTCGCCTCTGTAGTGGTAGGTTGTTTTCGGCGTTACCGCTTTGCTTTTTGCAGACGAAAGCGCTTTCAGGATCGTTTCCAACCATGGCAGAAAGAGATTGGGGGGGTCTGTAATGCGCCTATTCTTCATCGTCATTACGTGTAGCGGGAGCTTTGAATGTGATGTGCCGTGATGGCAGGAAGAAACTGCGCGGTCTAGAACGCACTTATTCTTCGTTATCAGCGTCATCGTCATCGCCAACGCCAGACAACCGACAATCCTAGATCCTAAGATGCTTCGCCCCTAAAACGATTTTTTTTTCTGGTACAGGTAAATTACTACTTCAAAGAATCAAAATAGCCCCTCTTACCCCGAGAAGGGACTTGGTTAGCGAGAATAGGCAGAAGTTACGGCTCGTGACGCCACCTTCAAATTCCCGCAGCGATCAGCGTGACGTCATGAATTTTGAGAGTGTCTACTATGGCCTACGCAGTTCTGAATTGGTGAAACTAAAGCACATTGTCTTCTGAGTGAGCCAGAGTCATAACATACCGAGTTTCCATAAATTTCATTGACGGAGTGTAACGAAAAAGTACTAAAAAATTCACTTCAATATCCATGATGCAACGCGTGAAGATTTCAGTGCAAAATTTAAAAATCAAAATTCTACTATTTTTTTTTCCTATTATAAGCCCATAATGATGAAATGAACAACATTAGTTTTTTTTTCAGAGCATAATTTATCAATGCAAGCTGGTTCGTCGTTTCACTTCAGTCTTTCTTTGAGAAAGAGTGTGAATGCTAGCATAATTCATGACTTCAGATCACGATAATATTATTTCACTGTTTAAGGATTCACGGAAGTCAGAAAGGCTTTGTTCGCGGCCTGCAAAAAAAAAATTCCGCCATATCCACGAAGTGAATGATGATGAGTGGGCGAAGCTCCGGAGGTAAACCTGGTAAACCATGAATCCTCTATACATTTTGCCCACTCGATTTTATTACATCGCTCCCCCTAGCGTACGTCACCGCACTAAATCGAACGATTGCCTTCAACCAATGACACGCGCCATATGTGACATCATTCCTATTTTATAAGATCTCGCGTCTTTCATCAACTACAAGTACCGCTTTCTAGTTTATAACATCTTGCATCTTTTCATCATCAGCTACAAGTACCACCATCTAGTAAACACTACAAGAACTAAACGAGAGGTGGCTACATACAGGAGACGGTACCGCCATCTAGTGAACACTGCAAGAACTATACTAGAGGTGGCTACATACAGGGGACGGTACCGCCATCTAGTGAACACTGCAAGAACTAAACTAGAGGTGGCTACATACAGGCTACAGGGGACGCACAGCCCACGCCCTAAGGAGCTTCGCCCCTAAAAATTTAGGAATCGTTCAGTGCATCGCATTGCAGGCATATATGCTTTCTGTGATGCATACTAAATACGCCGATTCATTCGGCCGCTCACCTTGATGCGTGATGATGAAGAGGTGCTCGTCGTGTACGCGCTCCTCGCAGTGCTGCTCCGTGACCAACTTCTGACAGTCGAGGAGCTTGTCTAGCTACCGTAAAGGAAATAGCCAGTGTCAGTCTATCGTGCGGCACAGAGCAAGGAACACAAACCGCTTGCCAATGCGTCGCCACTCTGCGGTGGGCCCATCATTAATTTGTTTACGCTACAAGTTATCATTCTGCCTTTAAACAGCTACGTGTATGACGCATTTCGACGCATGCGCAGATGCCAGGAAGTGCGCGCACTTGGGCCTTCAGCCTAGGAACATTATGCCTGTCTATCGCTTAACGCTAAATACATTCGGTAGCTAAGCATACAGTATACTTCAACTATTATGCTAGTAAGCTCGAACACTTCTTCGCTTGACCGTCAAACTCGACGGCCATCGTGACCTGGTATATCTACTAGATTTTTTATTCCACAATCATCTCCTCCACGTGATGTGGTGAACGGTAGGGCGTGATAAGCTCCTCGTAAATATTCTGCAAAATTTAACGCGAAATCTGCTGAAATAGCAACGATCGCAGGCACTCGATCGCAAAAGCATCACGCACCTTCAGGTAGTTTCCGTACAGCAGCTTCTCCTGGTGCGGCACACTATCGTTGGAGTTTTCATTGCTGGAATTAACAAAGGAGCGAAATCTCAGAAAAATATATATCAGATAAAGAATTATTGTTCTCATTCTGATTATTCAACAGATACTTCTACACATATGCTCCCCTTGTTTCTTTCCTATCAGCGCTTGTTTCACGAGAGTCGTGTTTAAAATGCCCGGCAGCTGCCCCGTGACTGTTGTGGGACTACCTTGATAAACTATTCTGTACAGTGGGGAAGTTTTGAGTGTGTGAAAATTATGACGTGTGCACTTTGTTGTTACATAAACAATTTTATCGTACTACTAGAATTAGGAATGTGAATGTTCGTTCCTGTCTAAGTCTTGCACTGGTTTACGGTTACTAACAACGCAAAGATGAATGCGAGCTATTTAGTGAGAGGACAGGAGTACTTCAGTCATACTTTTTTAATGTTCACGTGTGCGTTTGTATGTTTGCGTGTATATATAGGCAAGCAAAACTGAAAAAAAAACGTTTGGGGGGGGGGGGGCGATCCCCTCCACCTGGAAAGGTATATCTTTGTGGACAGGCAAGGTATAGCATGAATGACGCAAGTTGATCATCTGTGAACTTTCAGGGCACCACGTTACATTCGAGTATCCGCTGCTGCTGTAAGCTTCGAGTTTCCGTGAACTTCATTCGTATAACTTTGCATTTAATATCATAGTCACGATGACGAAAAAAAAAATATACAGCAGATCTCACCCATTGTGGGACTCCCCATCTCAAGCAGCGAATCATTCAGTCAGCAAATAGTTCCCTACGTCGCTATTTTTTTGCTTCAAGCCAATCATTACAAATCGTTACAAATATGACGACTATACATGCAGGGTGTATATCCTAAGCACCTTCAAGAACTGGGGTGGCTCTGTGGTAGAGTACTTGACTGTCATGCAGAATAACTGTTCTGAACTACGGTTGGAGCCGGGATTTTTTTCTTTGTGTATATCAAAATTTTTGGCAACTACAGCTACTTAACGCTATCGCATGAATACTTACAGCAGCCAATTTTTTATCATCGCTGGGTTAATATAGACATTGAATCACGCTTGGCGCATGCCCGCTATTGATGGGCCGCGATGAGCGGCACACACGTCACTGAGAGAAAATGTTTCATGACGTTCGTGACAAGTACCTCACGCTTTTCATTTTAATCGTGTTCGTTATGCACTCATGTTCTCCTATGCTAATTTTGCTTCCTCCCAAGTTCAGAAGACGAGCCATAGAGCACCCAGACAAAAGTGGCAAAGCAGATTGAAACTATCCAAGTGCTGTTGGTTGCAAAAGAAGTACTTCGAATTCAAAAGACAGCTCAAACGCAGAGTTGCGATTGAATAAAGAAGACAATGTTGCTGTATGAGACACAGGGTTGGTTGTTTGGTTGGCCGGTTGCGAAATTTTACTGTGGTCCTGCAAGGCGCGCGTTAGCGCGCAGTGGGCGACTCCCATGTCGAGACCGATAGGCCAAGGCTATGGGCCACTCCGCGGTGTATTCAGAATTTATTCAATTTCTGCCAATCTTTCAAGAATGTTAGCCAGTCTGGTTGCATACGTAGATAATGTAGCAAGCTGAGGTTCGCCACTGTACAAGTCAAGTTGAATTGGGCCACCAATAATTTTTGACATCATGAGCATGCGCAGGGCTCCCCTTCAGGGGGAGGGGGGAGAGGCGCGCGCTTGTCGCAGCGCTTCCCTTCCTTATTAAGTCAATGTATGCGGCAGGCTTTGCACGCCCCTTGTTAGGGGATTAGAGAGGCAACTCCCCCCCCCCCCCCCCGCTTCCCCTCGCTCCACTCGAGCACACCCCTATGGTCGACATCATGCACAACATCAGCCTTCGCTGAAAAAGAAAAAGGGGGGGGGGTGTAGGGGATAGGAAAACGCGCTGATAAATCAAACAAAAATCACAAATATTGTCCCACAGGACACCAAGAACGTTCTCCACATGTATGCAACTGTCCACACATCGATGTTTTGTTATTTTACGCGCAAGATATTTTCATTCGTGCAATTTATGCTTCAGTGATGACGTATTGAGTTGGTGTCATAAACACCTGCAGCAGTTGTAAACGACAGCCTCGTAACAAAAACAGCGAGCACGCAGACTACCTGTGCCTCTAGTCTTATGCATAGAATGATACATTTTATAAGTTCTCTCACACCAACCCACATCATCATGCACCGCATATATTCCGACGTTTATAGGTCCAATCTCTGCCAGTACTGTACCACCAGAGCTACTATTGACCTTGTTCTATGGGAATGTCCAGCATTAATCAGAAATTCTGGGGTCGCGGCCTCCAATGAAGACCTTCGGGCGCGTTGGCGGACTGCACTGCTCAGTTCGGGCCTGGGCAAGCAACTCTGAGCAATCCAGCAGGCCAAGGAAGCCACCGGGAGACACGGTCTCTGCGTTAGCTTCTAGGTGGGAGCCCAGCGCAGTAATCTGCCGGAAATCCATAGTTTACCTCTCTCCTTTCCCTTTCATTCTCTTTCGAGCAACGACCGACTACTAAGCAATCGTGTCTTGCCGATAGCGAATCTCGTTCACCGAGTTATCACAGCATGCGCCCGTGGATCAATCACCTAGAGCCATCTTCAAGTGTTGAATGGGCCATACATACTTTTATGTCACTTTTTTTTTTCTGACGGGAGCAAGAGGTCGTGATGGAAAGACATCTGAAAAACCGTGAATAGAGTCTTGTCCTGTTTACGTATATATAGGGGAATGAGCGCTTGGAGAGAGAGAGAGAGAGAGAGAGAGAGAGAGAGAGAGAGAGAGAGAGAGAGAGATAAATAGAGAGGAAAGGCAGGGAGGTTAACCAAGCTTGGCTCGGTTGGCTACCCTACACTTGGTGTGGGGGAAAAGGAGAATAATAGAACGGAAAGAGATAGAAAAGGAGAGGAGTAAGAAAGAGAAGCATGAATAGTCAGCTCGAGACTACACAGCACAGTGTCGCACAGTTCTTTCACAAGCGGTCATGAAGTCTGGTGGTCCTTAAAAAGTACAAGAGGGCTTTCGGGGCTTTGCGCGTATGGGAAGCCGTCGGCCAAGGTCCCAGGATCTTCTCTTCTGTAAGCGGCCGTGAATCCAGCTGACAGAGCTTGGCTTCCATAATACGTCGTTCGGTCTGGTATGCTGGGCAATGACATAGAATGTGTTCAAGCGTTTCCTCGCAGGCGCAGATGTTGCATGCCGAAGTGCTCGCCATTCGAATAAGACGAGAGTAAGAATTAGTAAATGCCACGCCCAATCTCATGCGACACAGTAAAGTTTCAGCGCATCGTGGGAGCCCGGATGGCAAACGAAGTTGCAAGTTTGGGTCGATCGAATACAGGTGTGTGTTGGAGAAACTCTGCCTATTCCATTGTAGGAGAGATATACGGCGAGCAAGTGATTGTAGTAGCCTTGCAGCGTCCGTTCTCAAGAGTGGTATGGGCGTGCGCTGGTCTTGGTCATGAGCCGATCGAGCAGCTTCATCCGCGCGGTCATTGCCGACGATTCCGCAATGACTCGGCAACCACTGAAATACAATATCGTGACCTTCCGTGAGCGCTTCGTGGTAGTCGTGCCTTATCTTGGAAAGTTGTTGTAAGCTAATGCAGGTGGACAACCTTGTGCTAATGGCAGATATTTCATGCCAGAGTCTTATAGATGTGTTTCCAATACTTGTGATAATGAAGCGACATATCTAACCGTCAGTTTAGACGCCGAATGATAAAAGTGTTTCTGTTTGTATTAGCACAAAGTGTAAACATATATTTTTGCACGAAGAAGGCGTTATGTGTGGAGCTATAGCCAGTTCCCAACAAAAATTATATTCCTATATTGGCGGGTGGTCTCGGGGACTATGCAGCAACAGTTTTTGTTTTTCCACTCATAGGAATGTAACCCTCGGCATGGCGACAAGCATCACTCTCGCGCTCTCGCATCCGGTCATTAAGGTCGTGTAAATCAATCATATGCGTTTTGCCTGCGGCAGTGCGGCGACACGACTTAATTGCTTAATCTGCTCCATTTAAGTGGAATACCACACGAAACCCGGCGGGCTGGAATGAAAGAGCAAATGCCACGAATATCATGAATATGTGTTAGAACTGATTATCGTAACAAATGGTTCCCTAACGAAGCGCCTCCCCCCCCCCCCCCCACACACACACTGAACGTTGCTTCATAAAACTTGCAACGATCGTAAATGACAGCCTCTGAAGAGATAACGAAGGCACCTGGGCTTTATCTGTACATTTGCTCCTTCTGCATGAAACTGCATATATTTTGCCAAGGATTACATTCAAATCGGTTTTTTTTTTCGTACTGTTCCTGTAAGTCCTGTAAGTAAGTCCTTGTGAACAAACAGAACAAAGTCGGCTGTTAATGTGCAACCAAGGCCGAACGCCAAGGGAGATCGCCGATGAGGGCCTTCCGTTTATTATGTGCTGGCAACAGTGCAACGCATGATGCTTTCTTCGTGTAAGAATGCGTATAGCTTCACATTGTGTGCCAATACTTACGATAACGCTTTATCCTTCGGCGGCTAAGTTAGGGGCCACATGTTTCGCCTCCATTGCCACACGTATTAGCGACACTGGCCCGCACGCAGGCACACGTGCGCGTATTGGCAACGCACGGGTGGCAGCGTTTTCTTGAGAAAGCCGTGGTTCGACCTTCTCCCGAGGTTTTATTGGATGAGATATCTAAGGCGGCCTCGATCCAACTGCAATGGCCGGCAGGACACCGAGATTTTCTTAAATAGTTAATTACCCTTTCGCAGCACTAAAGAGCTTTACCCTTACTCGCCACATTGGTTTAGTGGGAGATGATGATCAAGTGCTAATCCAGAGGCGCTGGGATCAAATCCCGGCCATGGTGGCGGCCGCATTTCCGCGAAGGCATTATGCTGGATGCTCGTGTGCTGTTATTTAGGTGCACGGTAAAAAAAAACAAAAAAAACCCCAGGTGGTCGAAATTTCCGGAGCCTTCCACGACGGCGTCTTTCATAATC